TATATAGCGCTTTTTTTGGGTTAAAAAAACATTTTACCAAGGATGTATTAAATTGATTAGGTTTCTAATTCAATTCAATGCTGCTCCTTCGAACTTTCTAATCTCCAAAGAATCCTGAAAAAAACAGGATTTCAACAAATCAAGCAGCAAAACTGTTCAACACTGATAATAAGTAGAAATGTTTCTACTTCATCATATTAGAATTATTTCTGAATTATCATGTGAGACCGAAAACTGGACTAATGATGCCGAAAATTCAGCTTTACCATCACAGCAACAAATTACATTTTAAAATATTAAAATACAAAACACATTTAAGTTGGCTTGAGAAAGCCAACTTAGGCCATATTCACACTTGGCGTCTTTTTTGAAGCTGCCAGCATCTGTTTTACATTATAATCCTATGGAGTAAACAGTGTTTTCAAAAAAGTCCTGAGCGCTTTTTAAAACGCCATCGCCGGCGTCTTTTTCTGCAGCTCAGAGCGTCTTTTCCAAGTTGAAAAAAGTTAAACTTTTCTCAAAAAAAACACCCTACGTCAAGTGCATTTTTGACAGCTGACCAATGACAAGCGAGTGGCGAGTTGTTTCCATAACAAAAACAACAAGAAAAATGGAAAAGATAGCCGGTAGATTAGTTCGTACTAGTTTCGGAGCACAAGGAGTTGTATGATATGAGCACAAAACTGTATCTAACTTAGTCTAAAATATGCCACAAACCGTGCATCATTCAACAGAGCTCCTGGACTAAATTGTTGTAAGCACCATACGGTTTCCTTCCCTGTATAATGTTGTGTGCGCACCCACAAACATCGTTGTGAACTGACAATCTCAAAAGGCTTCAAAAGGCAACGCAAGAGCCAACTTTTTACTCTTTCTCGACATTTCTGCAGCATATAGCACTAGGCTACTGTTGCAGCTAGTGTTGTCAAAAGACCCGGTACTTTGGTACCAAGTCGGTACTAAAAAAATGAAAATGTTACGGTACCAGGTTTTTTAAAGTACCGGTGGTACAGAGTACCCGGTCAACCCAGTTCTTGATGCGCTATCCGAAAGGTGCGCAGATGCGCTCTCTTCATAAAAGCACTGAGACCTGGCGACATCAAAACGAGGAAACACACCAAACTAACAAAACACTTTAAAGACACCCAGATCAAATGAAAGAGTTCAAGCAGGTAAGTTTCATTTTAATTTTTAATATTTG